CTTACGGGCACACTTCAAGGAGAGGCAAGAGGACAATTCACAACAACGACAGCTACATGTTCAGCTCATGCTTACGGACATCCCAGAATCTATTTTACGAATACGTCGAGTGCACCAGCCCCCAACTACTTGGCAACATCGACTACGCAAACTCTTTTAACAACAACCGTATTGCTCGATTTTTCTTGCTCGTAATTAGCACACACACACACACACACGCACACTGCCAGGCTCGCTGTCGTGGGATGGGCGGGGGGCTTCTGTGCTTTGGGGGGTGGACGATTGTTAGCACTTCAGTGTACAGCCAACGGCATCTTCTTACGTTGAGCTTGCACAGTCGCTTGACTGATTGCCTGAAGCCGTCACGCATCAATTTTCCCATTCGCAGCTTCGCATTGGTTGTCACGCCCCACTTCGCTAGTGCCGCCAGACATCCCGCGCAAGCTACAGGCCAGCCAGGATTTGTATTGCTCATGACTTATGGTGGTGGAGGCGGAGGTCGCAAGTGGCGCGGAGGTGGGACCAGGATGCTTAAGCTAGCCTTGACAGTGCCAGCCTTAGGGAACATAATTTCCTCTCCCCTCTGCCCACTCACTGGCGCGTCTCAGCTCTTGCCGTGCACTTTTTCCAAGGAGCTATACTCGAGCCCAGCAGACGACTAAGTCGGTCTACTGTTCTGCTACTAGGCCAGGCAGCGCTGGCCCAACGGCGCGTTGAGGGGGATGGGGCGGGCGGGTGAGCGACGGGGGCGGCTGTGGTGGCAGAGGACGAACCTGTCAAACACGTAGATCAAAGCTTTTTGACGCTTCAGAACTTGTTTCTTCTGTCCTATCACTAGCATGTCTCAGGTATTGCCGTGCATGTTTTCAAGCAGCTATACTCCAGACCTGCACACTACTAAGTCGGTCTGCTGTCCTGCTACTAGGCCAGGCAGCGCCGGCCTGACAGGGTGAGCTAGTGGGGGTAGGTCCGGGATGGCTGATGTGTAGCGGGCTGGGGACGGTGGTGGATCCTCGTTTCGGGACCCCCTGGATTACGGGGAGCGGACAGCCCCACTTCTAGCATTTAAAGATGCGAGCATATCACCACACTGTACACTTGCAGGTCTACATTTTCATAAGGGGAATGAGAGCCACATTGGTGGCCACAACGACGGGGGCACCCCCCCTTATGAGCTGAAACGGCGAAGGGGCCTCCCCCCGAGGAAACGAAAAGAACGGGTAGCAGCCCAAGAATTGCAATTTTTACTTCGCAACAGGGCAAGCCAGCACAGACCGTGCCAGCCCTTTTCACTTTGCTCAACGTCTGTACGCTTTCTGTTGTTCAAACCCACTCCTAGGTTCGGCCGTCACTTTACTTTTTATTCGCACTACATGCCTCTTCTTTTACGCGGCTTGCCTGGATTGACTGAAGGGGCGGTTGGGGCTTTTATCGTAGAGGACGTGGAGCTGCGCTGGGGGAGGCATTATACGACCAAGCAGCCGTTGCTTCTTCATTGCAATTGCACGCGTATTTTTGTACTTCAACTGTTCCCGCTCCGTTGTCCTTGTTATGTTACTGATTATCCCGCTGTTGGTTCTTACTCCCTCTCTCCCTACGACAGCCGCCCGAGCTACTCAGCGCCCCCAAGGGGCACATTCTTTAACCGCAGCTTGTCGCATGTCCTCATCCGCACTGGCGGCTGCCTGAATTTGCTTGTCAAGGCCTAAGTCGGCGGTTATCTTCCTTTAGAGGCTGGGCAATGTTTTCTGGACGCATCAAGATATGATCTTCATGTCCGAGCAACAGTGAGACGAAACAAGGGGGCACGACGAGGGCGAAGGAGGAAGAAGGAGGGCGAAGGACGAAGGAGGGAGGAGGGAGGGCAAGCACCGCCCCTGGCCATCGGGGCTGCCGACCGACATAGGCCTCACCGGGGAAGGCCCGCGCGGATGTATCGACCTCGGCCTCCTCCTCTGGGACGCAGGATGAGAACTTGTCACTCGTCGCGGCCCCAGGGCAAAGACGCGGAGGGATCGAGGATCTACTACACGAGAAGGATTGCCCTGGGCAGACTTGGCTGGATGGGCCTGGCCGGGAGGGTTGGGATTGGCCGAGGCTGGCCAGAGGGTTGGCTGGCGTGGGCAGCTGAAGGGTTGACCGGCTTGCGGCTGGGAGATTTTGGATAGCGTGTCGCTCCGTCGGTTCTGGCCCACCACGCTTCGGTGCGACACGCTATCCACTTCCCGGCCCCCCAGCCTCAACGTCCCGAGCTTTCCCGAGCCTCCCACCCAGCGGAACGGAGCCGCACGCAATCCGTTTGCCAGGCATATTGTGTCGCCAGTGCTGCTGCCGCGACAGTGTCGGGGCGACACATTATCTAAGAGCTCCCGACTGTAATTCTTCGATTCGCACTTCTTCCCAGAACATCGAACAGGTTTGGTGGCGTATTGGGGCTTTTGAGCATGGCCATCCCAGCGACCTGCGGAGGCCTCTGGGGACCTCCAGAGCCCTCCGAGGGGCCTCCGGCGACGGACGATCGGCTGCGCTGAAGAGTGACCCCTCGCCGGATTCACCTTTGGTGCGGGCCCACGTGGATCCCCCCACTAAGATTTAGCCTGCGCGCTTGGATTTGGCCGTCGTGCGGCCCCCGAAAGCTGCGCACCAAAGGCCACTCTTGCCACAGGCCGCTCCTGCGCGCGGCCCAAGCGAGGGCGAGGGGCTCTCGGCGCGGAGGGAGGAGGAGCTCGACGCTCCTGCTCTCGGGGGGCGGGCCTCCTGCCAGACGCAGCCCCGGGAGAACTCGTCGGGACGCGCTCCCAGAGAGGTCCGGCGGGCCGAGCTCGAGGGGCGGGGCCCGGGCCGCCGGCGCCACGAGGAGAGAAGAGTGCGGCGGCGGCTCTCTCGCGGAGGCGGCCTCGGGCAGCCCGCTGCGGCCCCCGGGGGGGGGGTCCGTCTCGGTGGTCTTCTCGGGGGCGCACCTCGTCGCGGCCCCGGGGGAGCTCGGCAGCGCAAGCCCGCTCCGCGTGGGCCGCCCCGTGCTCGAGTAGAAGCCTCTGCCGTCGCACGGGGGCCCGCGGCTGCGAGTGGGCCGAGGCCGTGCGCCACGGCAGCTGCCGCACAGAGGCCCACGGAGAGCGACGGCGGCCTCGGGCGGGGCGGAGCGCCTGGGCAGGCCGAGCGGCTTCCAGGTCGTCGCGGCGCTCGACATCTCCGCCGCGGTGCTGGACGAGCACGTGGGCTTGGCATCGCTCGGACGTGTGCTTTCTGTCGGCGTGGACCATCGAGAAGCACCTGGGATCGTCGTGCGAAGAGCAAGCGCAGGAAGCCGAGAGGGTGCACGGGGAAGGGAGGGCCGAGCGGTGGCGAGGGAGGTGAGGTGGGCGCAGTGCCAGCCACCCCGCCAGGAGGTGCGCGCCGATTCTGTGTCCAGATCTTGCGCGGGCGCCTGGCCAAGTGTAGGGGAACAAAAAGTAACATAAACATAAAAACTCGGAGGTCCGCGCGGATTTCTCGGATCGGCGCTGGACCCCCCTCTCTGGCGCGCGGAGCGCGGCAGGGGCGGCGCCGGAGGCGCCGCCAGGTGGCCCCAGCGCCGATCCGAGAAATCCGCGCGGACCTCCGAGTTTTTATGTTTATGTCACTTTTTGTTCCCCTAAAGTGTGCGCGCCAGGCCCCCTGTGACTTCGCTGGGCGGGCAGAGGCCGGGCTGGCCCAGAGCTGCCGGCAGAGCGCTGGGCTGCGACCAGGGTGAAAGTTCTTCTCAGTGATCGTCGCAGCTGCAGCTCGCTTGCCGCGCTTTCCCATCCGCAGGCCCCCTCCGTCGTTGCTCTTTCGCGGCGCTGGCCCAAGAGCTCTCGGCCTCATCTTTGAGTCGGGCGTGTCCCTCTACACGAGGAATATTCAAAAAATAGGAGTTATTTTTATGCATTCCTTTTAGAAAAAAGCTGGGGACGATTTGTCTACTATTTATGATAATTATAATATATTGTTTGACTATTTTGATTGTTCCTCCGAAATCCGCCTGTAGGGGGACATGCCCGACCTAACCTTATCTCCAGGGCCAGCGTTCTGCGGACCCAGGGCCAGGGGAGCCGCCCACAGAACCCAAGACCGCGGGAGAGCGCCTTCGCGGTTGTCTGCACGACCGCGCGTGCAGGTCCGGGCCCCGCACCCCCCCCTTCTGAAAGAGAGATTCACAGGCATCTCCGCCTGCCCTCGACAGAAGGAACCTCAAAAGTGCGCGCACAAATGGATTGTATGCTTGATGTCCTGGGTACCCATCGGTCGCTGAAAGTAAGTATTTTTTGGTTCTCGGGTTCCAACCTACTTTAGGCGCCTTCCAACTTCAATGATCGAGTGTCTTCACCTTTCCCGTCCTCCTTGGGGGGCGGACGGAACCCAATCTGCTTTCAACGCCTTCCTGCTTCATAATTCTACCTACTTCGTCCGACCGACGGGTATGAGCGACGTGGCGTGTTAAGTATCTGCTGGCGCGGTCATCGTAAGACTTCGGAGTCGCGCCGGCCCAGGCAGATTTCGCGGTGCTTCGACATTTGGCGGGGGCGGCATTTGTGGGGCGCAAGGGGGCGACATTGCAGGGGCGCGCCAACAGTGTTCGCGCAGTGCACCGAATGTTCGCGCTAGCTCAATCACCAGCCGATTCCCACCACATTTGAAGTTTTGTTGTCTGCGCTCTCTGGGACCCCGCCGATTCCAGCCAGACGTGGGGCCCCGTAGGGGCTCCAAGCATCCATGTCCCCCCCATCGCCCCTCCGAACGCCGTGGGCGTCGACTGTGCATGCCCGCACGCAGGTGTCGAATGAGCCTCGATCGATCTGATTGGCCATGATCCGCATAGGTTCAGTGTTGCGTTGGGCGTCTGTTCTGGTTTCGGGGATGGGCGCGGTTGGCAAGTCGTGAACGGATGATGCTGGTCGTCACGTGCACTGCGCCAATTCACGGGGAGGGAGCTTTGCAAGCGAAGCGCCGAGGCTAGGAACGAGGCGGTGGCCTTGGAG